GCAGCACGTTATCCTTATACTCTCGCTTCTCGAATCGTTAATGATCCGATCGTGAATCGCGAATCCGCGACGTGACGCTACTCCCTTTATACACGTCGGCTTGCTTCTGCACGTGCATATATACATACAAGCACATAAACTCACATGAACATGCACGCGGGTGCGCACTGCTCTACTCTCTCTCTCTCTCTCTCTCGTTCTCTCGCACTCGAAAGTATCTGTGAGTGAGTGTGCACGGTTTTATGCGCGTCCTTTTTTTTTTTTTTTTTTTTTTTTTTTTTTTTTTTTTTTTTTTTTTGTACTTCTTGCTTATCCATCGGCCAATTAGGTCGATGCTGCCGATGTCTTTTTTAACGAGTCCTCTCCACCTTCCTACGCGAGCTTTTTCCTTGCTGGCGGTAATTTTTTTTCTTGTTGTTGTTGTTTTTTTTTTTGTTTTTGTTTTTGTTTTTTATTCTGCTCTTTCTATTCTTGGCTTTGTACACCTCTTATTGAACGTCATTACTTCTATCGATAGTTTTTTTCCTCGTTTCATTTGCAGTTGTCTTTGTTTGTGTCGTGTGTATATCTGTTGTTTGCTTACCTCTTGCCTCGATCCTTGCAATCTTCTCTTTTTCCTTTCTTCTCGTCTACGTTTGATAGACAGAACATGTTACAATTCCTTTTGTATTGATATTTAATGTCGATATAAGACATTAAAGTGAATTTTTATTTTAATGCAAGACTCGTATTTATGATCGTGCAGAGAAGGAGAGAAAGTGCGAATTCTAGTAGTCATTGAGAAAAATGATCGGTGCGACCGAAGAGCATTCACGTTTTCTCGTTAGCAAAGTTTTTGAACACGAAGAAATATCGTGACCGACACATCAGCGTTTAATTTCGCAAAGCTAATTAACAAAAAATAAAACGTAACGTAAGACTTCTCACGCCAATGAAGACCTGGACTATTCACCACCGTAGACCGTCTATTTATTACATATGCCGTCAGATGTAATAAACAGAAAAAATCGAATGGCAAAGCTGAAAGTCACCGTTCGATAATAATATGACGGGGGCAATTTAATCGATGCTCCCTTACAAGATCGGCGCACTTTCCTTAAAAGCTCCTCTCGATCTCTACTTTCGATGGCGCGACAATGATACCGTATATCACGATAGATGCTCCTCTCTGGCCGCCGATAAATCGTCGCGTCGATCGATCGATCTTCTCCCTTTCCTCTATCCAACGATATATTCTACTTTTTCGCTCGGCGACGCTCCCTATCAATCGATCAAGGAAAAGCCGCGCATGAATTTTCACAGCTCGCACGTATACGCGCACGTGTGTACGTGCCTCGTCCGCGATATCGTCGGGGCGCTCGTGTGATGCGCGACTTTTTTGCGCGCACTTACATTCCACAGCGAGCGCAGATTGGAAGAGGAGGAGGTGGAGGAGGTGGAGGAGGTGGAGGAGGCGGAGAAGGAGAAGGAGAAGAGGAAGGAGAATCGTCATACGAGCAAACGAACGACCGAGCGAACGAGTGAGAGAGAGAGAGAGAGCGACTTGCGAATCGGGCGGAGTGGTGGAGGGAGGCGATGAGACGTGTATGGACAGTCGTAAGGACGTAAAGAGAGATGTAAATAAAGAGGCTGTCGGCGAATTTTATGCTTGTTTTTCTTTCTCAGCGACGCGTACGTAAAAATATCTTGCGGTAAAATTTAGTCTATTTATCAGCATGTAGAAATGTTTTGGTCATTTGAATTGTTGTGCACTAATGCTGTTGACGGCCAAACATAATAGCACAAGTGCTTCGCTGAAAAAAATTGGACATTCATTACGCGCACTTGCGACGAAATTAATTTCCTTCTACCGAGAAGAAAGACGGCGAAATAACGTAACGCGAGGCCTGAATAGTTTGACATTTTTATTATCTCGCAATGTCCCACTTAACATATTTATCATCGAACGTAACAGTAACACTCTATTGAGAGCTGCTCCGATATTCATAAATTTCGCTTTGAAGATAAAAAGAGAAAAAAGGAGGATGAAAGTACAAAGAAGCCAACGATACTTCCAGGTGCGGAACAGGACGCCGAGCTATTTATGCTGTCGCGACGTACAGTTATCCGCAAAATAGACTTTCGTCCCGTTTAAAATGGCTTGGTAAGTGAGCGCGGAATATAATGAGATCGATCGCGCGCCCATTGGGAGAAACCGAATGCCGCCCGCGGGAAAATTGATTGGGTAAATGCGCGCGCACTGCAATTTCCGGCCATTAATGTGCCACTGTTTCACCTTCCGTTTCCATGTCTAATGAGTCGCGACTCCTTAAATATGTCGACAGGCTAACCCCCCCCCCCCCAACTCCACCCCCCCGAGCAACGAGTACTAATCACTTTTATCGAATTCTCAGCTTATCTGCTTATCGTATAGGAGATAACGAGCGCACACTTCGTCGGATCGGAGACGACTTTGCTAATATCGAGTCTGTGCTCTGCTGGAATTAAGAGTTTGTTGTTACGCACGGCCTAACCTAATCGAACTGCTTACGCCGACGATGAGCATAAAAATTATTTACGCCTGCGATATTTTAATAATCTTAATGCCAATTTCATGTTTTTTTCCAACATTTTCTTTCCTTTTGTTCTTGCCTTCTATCTAAGATAAACATTATACTATACAATGTATGTGTGGTTGGCCACACAAATAGAATTCTAACCTGGGATATTCAGCTGCTAAAGCGTATAGAAAAATTAAACGTATTTATTCAACTATGATGACTATAATGAAATGTGAAAAATTGTTTGGATTTGTAGGGGAAAGCTTATAGTTGTGTTGAAATTACAAAAACAAAAGAGTATGTAAGAGAGCCGTTGGTGGGAACGAGAAAAACTTTTTCGTTTAGAAGCGTTATGAAACGTGTCGATACGTCATTCCGATATTGTATTTATTGTCCTGTCTACATTTTTCTTCACGCCCGTTTCCTTTCCAATCTTTCGTTGTTTGGTCGATCGACTGGGACGCATAATAAATTTATTTCATGCAACGTGAAATTTTAAAAGGACAGCCACGCTTAATCTTGATGTTATTAAAATAAATGGATTATTAAATGATTATGTTATCAGTTAATTGTACGGTAGTGCTCGAAATGGCTATAAATAATATCTTTGCCACCAATAATTATTCACCAATGGCATTATTTCAAACGGTGATTTATAACATTGCCTTGTATGCGGAACGATTTTCCGAATTTATCAAAATCGGCAATAGGCGATGCTCGCGCGCTCAGGTACTTTAAACTCTTTTTCAACTCCTCCTTGTCGTCGGGCCGACCTGGCTATAAGCTCATCCCACGCGCGCGTTTGTATTAATTCTCGTTGTTAATGGTTCGTCGTTGCTTATTTGGACAAACAAACGGAGATTGAACATTGAACCGAGGGCTCGCGAGAAAAATCGCAGAAAGAGAGGAAAAAGGAAAATTTCGCCAGGCGAAATTCGAGCATCGGATTTATAATCATTCGCGTGCGCTCCCTATTTTTTTTTTTGTTGCTCTGGCGAATTAATCGGCTCCTTACACGCCGTTAAATTGAACGAGAGAGGGACAGAATCGAGGCCTATGAAATTATCTATCGCAACGCACCTTTGATCTCCTTTGTATTACGCGCTACTACGCTAAGATCAATTCACTCTTGTCTGCGTACGTCTCGCTCTCTCTCTCTCTCTCTCTCTCTCTCTCTCTATATATATATATATATATATATGTGTGTGTGTGTGTGTGTGTGTGTGTGTGTGTGTGTATACAGCAGCCATCGCGTATCTATCGAGGCTCCCACGGACGATAAGCGGGCTTTTACTGGCCAGGACAATACACGATATTCCCCAGTTTGACGAAGGATTCCAGTTGCGCGTACGCCTAACAACTTTTCTTCAAATGCAATTAGATTCTCTCGCTTATTGTTGCTTGACAATTGATCTACCGCGCGTTTGGATATTAACGGCGTTACGGGCATTCCCGAGGCGAGCGATTATTAATCTCGTGATGCGGAAAGGCGACCGCTTAGGTGTCGGTCATTTCACCTGTACTTCTTTTCCGTTCCTCCGAATGTCCGAAGTTTTAACATCAAATCTGTCGAGAATCGTATCGTCTCGTTCGACGTTCCTTTTTTTTTCTCGATGCGCCGTGGGTGGGTGAACTCTTCGACGTGGTCCCGCTATCTTTGTGTCTTTGTAATCATTCTAACGTACAATTTAACCTCGGATAGCCGGATTTCGATGACAGATCAGCATGTGATTGAAAAGTTTTACGTTCTTCTCGACATAACTAATTTTGTAAGATTTATATTCTCGTACTTAAAATGTGGACTAAAATTTATAAAAAAAATTAGCATGGGATCCGTGGCCTCATACGCGATTGCAAACGAGGTTATGTTTTTGTTTCTCAACTCACATTCATATTTCACATTTAATTTCATATGCTTGTAAATAATGTAAGGGAAATTGAGATTTTTATTTGTAAATATCGATAGTCAATTTTTCACAATAGTTTGCTTCTCAACATTACTGATAATATCAATAAAATTACACCTTCCATAAACATTTTACGCATACGCTGTTTGGTTAATTTTAATTCGACTATTGAAATTTGAGTATTAGAGTATTAGAAAATTAGAAAATACGTAAACGAGGAAGATTTTATTAATTAATTATGTTTATAAATTACTGGACAAGAATACAAGAATAGAAGTATCTTTGTATCTTGTTCACTATACACACAATATGTTACTAATAACTTCGATTAAAATGTCTGTAATTGACAAATGTGCTCTGTATAATAAAACTCAACGACGAACATTCTGTCACTAACACTTTAATGACATTGTAATACATGGACATAAATTGCATCGCTGGGCACTAGCCACTGAATTGCCCGCGACTGTTACTATCTATAACCTAAATTCCACCCCCATTCGAGCCCCGCTATTAACGAAACTAACGGCCCGATTCTGTTTCCCTGTTACAGGAGGACGCAGCCGACAGTACGGTGGTAGCCGCGGCGGGGAGAGTAGGAGGAGGAGTATCAGGCGACGTCATAGGGGGCCCAGGCGGCGGGTGCCGCGCTACCTCGATGACGATGGCCGAGAGTGCCGTGGAGGACGCTGCCGCAGCGCCGCCCGGACCGGCGAAGCCACCACCGCCCTCCTGCACGAACAATAACACCCTCGCGGCGACGGCTAATCGTAACCACCACCACCGCACCCTATCCTCCTCGTCTACCTCGTCCCAGCCCCGGAAGCGAAAGCGCCTCTCCCAAGTGCTCGACATTCTGCAGCAACACCGGGGTGGGTCGCCCCTCGACTCGGCCAAACACTGCGCCAATAGCCAGGCCGCCGCGAGGTACGACGGCAATGGGGCCCTACCTTCCGAGGGCGAAGACGAGGACGTCTTTAGCTCACCAAGATCGACCTCGAGGTCGACTCTAGAGAGTCCGGGGCCGCTCACTAGCCTCCCGACCCTCAGGCCCAAAGAGGAGCGGGAAGTGGAACCCCCGAAGCAACGTCACAATCACAGCGGCCAGCGTCGCAACAACAGTCGCCATCGAGGCAACGGCCACCGCCACAGCAGCGGTAACAGCAACGGCAATGCCAACGCTAATCCCAACAACGGCAATCACCACCATCACAACCGTAACAACAACAGCAACAGTAAGAACAATAACAACGGCAGCGGTAACGGCAGTGTCAGCGGTGGCGGTGGTGGTGGTGGTGGTGGTGGCGGCGGCGGCGGCGGCGGCGGCGGCGTCAGCGGCGGTAACGGCGGTAACGGCGGTGGTAACGGCGGTGGCGGTGGTGCCGGTGCCGGCAACGGCCCCGGCGGTCAAGTACCACCACCGATCTACACGGGCTGCAGCTGCCTGCACTGCTCCACCTCCCCCATCGTCATGCCCTCGCCAACCTCGCCCCTCACGCCTCTCACGCCGCTGAGCTTCGCGCCCCTCGCCCCGGTCTCGCCCTCCTCCATCAGCTTCGAGCACTACCTGCACACCAAGTACCTGCCCAGCCTCACTCGTAACCGCAGCCATTCGGACTCGGACGAGCCCAGCTGGGAGCATCACCAGAGCCAGGGCCAGCGTCCGGCCTCGTCGATATCCATCTCCTCGCTCATGGGACACCTGCCGCGCTGTGGCTCCCTCGACTCCGAGACGACGGCCAGCCCGCAGGACTCGCCCCTCGATCTGTCGATGAAGGGCCTCCTGGCCGCGGGAATGGTGAGGCCACCAGCGCTCCAGCTCCTGCCCCCGGGCCTCGTCTCCCGAGGCTCGGTAAGCGTACCCGTCGTACGCGGCGACGTCGCCTCCCCGACGACCAAGGAGAGCGTCGCTGTTAGATATAACCTTGAGGTCTCGCCGGTCGTAGAGGAGATGCCGCCGGGGGCTGACGTCGCCTACGTCTGCCCGGTCTGCGGCCAAATGTTCAGCCTCCACGACAGGCTGGCCAAACACATGGCCTCGAGGCACCGGCGCCAAGGCGCTCAGGACTCCAGCGCCAAGGCCTACCTCTGCGACGTTTGCAAGCGCAGCTTCGCAAGGTCGGACATGCTCACGAGGCACATGAGACTGCACACGGGCGTTAAGCCGTACACCTGCAGGGTATGCGGCCAGGTCTTTAGCAGATCCGACCATCTCAGTACGCACCAGCGCACCCACACTGGCGAGAAGCCCTATAAGTGCCCGCAGTGCATTTACGCGGCTTGCCGGAGGGACATGATCACCAGGCACATGAGGACTCACTCGAGGTACCTCGACGTCCAAACGCCCAAGCAGGAGCCCAAGTCAGAGATGCCCGAGAGTCCGACCGGCTTCAGCAATGGGCAGCAGGCGCCCGTCATTAAGACCGAATGACGCTTACCCGCTGGATGATTAGCTGGACCCAAGTTCCATTGGCCTTGGCTCACCGGCTCTCCCAAACTCAGGCAAATCGGAGAATGGGATCGGATTGAGCGAGACACATAGAAATAGATAGAGATGGATAGATACGTATGAAGATGGATGGATAGATGTGGCGGCGGCGGGGGAGGGAGGGGGGAGAGCGAGAGAGCGAGAGAGCGAGTGAGAGATAGTGGGAAGGGGTCGAGAAGAGTGAGAGGCTCGAGCAAGGAAGCCAAGAGACCGTATGTACGGCATCAAGAGCGGATCGGATTAGGGAATTTGGAGGACTCAACGACAATGGTGGAAGCTTATAACGCGTGATACTTTATTGTTTGTGGATCTCCTTAACGCACAATTTGAACCCAGTCGTCTACTTATACCCAGATCCACACACATGTAGGTATACGCGCGCACAGACAAAACGACAGAGAGAGAGAGAGAGAGAGAGAGAGAGAGAGAGAGAGAGAGAGAGAGAGAGAGAGCACGGAATCAGCCTCGATCAGTATTATCGCATCTCTATACAACTACAAATTTCTCTCACACGCTCAAGCTCTCTCTCTCTCTCTCTCTCTCTCTCTCTCTCTCTCTCTCTCAAACCCTCTCTTTCTCTCTTTCTATCCAGTGATTCCATTCTCTTCATTCTTTATTCGTTTTTTCCAAACGCTTACTACCGAGAGAGAGAGAGAGAGAGAGTGAGAGAGAGAGAGAAAATGTGCGTTTGTGGGTGAACGGGTGGGTGGGTGGATGCATGCGGGTGTATGTGAACGCGCGCGCGAGAGAATGAGAGAAAAGAGGGAGGGAGACGAGCAGTCTTTCTTTTTTCTAGCTCGAAAAGCTTGATATTCGCGTTACGTAGTTGTAATAACGGTTTGCTCTTCCCGTTAAAAAAAGGACTATTGTTTTTCCTGTCTCTCTTATATTTATGATGATTTAAAAATCTTTAAAAGAAAAAATAAATAGTCGATTCGCTTCTTCTACTCCTAAATTTATCTCATAACTACCATTTATACTTGGAAAAGATATGCCCGAGAACGCCATCATTTACAGTAACTGCGGATTTATATTCCCAAGTCCTACTGTTAAAAGTATACTCTCCTAAAAATGTACGCGTTCGTAAATATATCAGATTAAACCTAATCTCTATATGTGTAATAACCTACGGCACGATTTGGGTTCACGATAATCGTATTTAAGTATATTTTTATATATATTTTATATATGATGTGTTAAGTATGATGGCGGTGAATAGATTTAAAAGAAAATTGACAATTTTTAATTGGCAAGTTTAAAAAAGTATTATTCATATAAGTAGGTTGTTTCTTAAAAAAATAAAAAAATAATAATTTTCTTTTTAAACGAGAAACGAGCTCTCTAAAAATTAAAAGCAAAAGGAATTAACTTAAGTTTAAGACGCGCAAGAGCAACAGGAATTCCTGCTTACGTGAGAGGAGAAGGAAAAAAGGAGGGAAAAAAAACTACGGTGCTTACGTAATTGTTGTAACGAATTGTTGTAAATATTTGTAACAAGCCACGAGATACTGCAAGTATATAAATTTATTGTTCTCGTTATTAAATTTCCCTATTCTTTGCCTTCTACACACGCGCAGTTCTTCCTATTGCGGATCTCGCGAAAGTATCCATAATGTGCCAAATTTTCAAGGTCAGTCTAAAGCGAACTAACCTAATCTAACTCTCCGATTGTCATAACGTAACGCACGTAATCGTCTCCTTCCAAATTGTTTCTGTCGATTCACTTTCTCGGAGGACATGAATGCGTATGTTGCTGCTCTCTAATGGAAGAAAAAGAAAAATATTAATTATAACACTTATTTATTTGTTTGCCTTTTATCCGGCGTTCGGCAACGAAAAAAAATGCGAATGCTGGCTAGTGCGACCGAAGTTTCTAAATTTCGTCATCCATTGACGCAACATTATTTATTAATATATATATATATATATATATATATATATATATATATATATATATATATATAT